CAACTTCACTGGTTTCTTCCTTTTCATTCCATATGGAAATGATTACCTTTTTTGCTGTTGTTCTTATCAACTGTTGCTATGATTTAAAATACTGAACCCTATCTTACTTCTAAGGAATGCACCACGGGGTCTGTTCAGCAACTAAAGGCACACCCCACTGCTGCATTTTGTTAACCCAAGTTTACTGAAAAAGAGTTTTGATACAATTTTTTACAAAACAAAGTTTAAAGTAATTGGGAAACACTGCTAAGATCCAAAACGGAACATTTTCCCAGACAGACCCAGTGTAAATAAAAACCTGCAGCCGAGTCCCCGCAGGAGTACCGCTGCTTCTGAGGGACCTTGCTGTTTCCAGAAAGACATTTGAGAAGGGGCTTCCGAAGCACCCAGGAGGACATGTATGTTTGCAGTTTGGAGGCTCATGGAATCAATTGCTGGTCAACAACAGAAGTAAATCCCAGCTTTACACTGAGCTCTGGGCCTGTTTAATCTCTTCGTAACAGCATGGGAGCAAAACCTCTTCTTATGATTCACAGTGGCATTACTAGGTTTGTGCGATGCTTACATATTTGGAAGCTTGTTATAAACATTCGTATGGGAAATAACTTTTTTCCCTGGTCAATGTGGAGTATTACCTTAACTTTTGCCATTAGAGTACAGGCTTGAAGTTTTACCCAAGAAAGCCAACGCCAGAGCTTCACGAGAAGCCCTGGTGTCGGCAATGACTCTGCTTTGACCTGTGTGGAGCCAATGGCCCCCCAGTCAAGACCACATGAAACAAGAAGTTTCTGGGCAGACAAATCCAGAATGCTTTGAAAATAAGCTTTCTGAAATGGTTGGGTAACTGTATACCAGGCTATCCCTAAAACGTTCTCTCTCAGAGACGGGATACCTGTTCGATGGGTAGGAAATACAGTGCAAACTTAATCTGCTTCTAATTTTGAAGTTTTTTTTAAACGTACCCCTTTTTTTTTTTTTACCAGATGGCTCCCATATCCCATTTGTGCTTTCTAAAGAGTTCTGTCCTCTAAGCTGTAGATGCTGTTTCTTGATTCCCTCTTCTAACTCTGGGCTTATCCTTCCCTCTGACCCACTCTGCAACATAGTTCTTTCTTGTTTTTAAACATCCTTTCACTTAGGATTGACTAAATATACCCAAAACTCCATTATCAAACCATTCATTCATTTATTCCACCAATTACTTCCCAGTGCTTAATATACACCAGACACTGAGAAGGGGGTTAGGGAGGTAGAGATGAAAGCTGTGTTGTCTAAATGAAGAAGCTTCCAATGTAGTTGTTGCCTTGAATGTTTGATGCTGTCATTTTGGCTGCCTAATTATTGCTTAACTTACCCATATCCATGTTCATTTTTTTAAACAGAATAATATGATCCAAGAAAAATAATTTAATTGGAAACTCTATAGTCTTGACCTCAGATTTGTCGGAAACATGTCCTTGTTTCCTCTGGAGACTTATTTTGGAGGATAACATACCAATGATTTTTCTTGTGACCACCATGTTTATCACACTTGAATTTCTGTCCAGAATTTTGTTTTAAGCGTGCTCCATATGTTTCTATCTTACTCTTATCTCCCCAAGTCGAAGACTTGGCAGTCAGTTCTTTTCTTACTCTGCAACCTACCTACCAAATAGGGCATTACCTACTCATTTGTCTTTTTGGTAAGCAATCCTTACACGTGGTCATCTGTATCAATCACTTAGAGTCTTATGGATTTTAGGAATGAGTGCTGGAAACTCTGGCCTGACATTTTTGGCTAAATAAATTCCTGCTCCTACACCCTGAACTGAGGCACTGCCGGCCATATTCATAGATGGAATCCCATTCCAAAAAGGAGGGCTGCCTGCATAAGTTAAGATAAGCAATGCAAATATATGAGGTGTCTGGAGGAGCCTATGTAGGGAGTCCCCTAGACTATTTAGGAGACAGTATGGCTTCCAGCTCTGGAAAAGTAGGAAAATAGAAAGTTCCAGGGTGGTGAGTAAATCGGAGG